AAAGCCCCTCAGGGCGGGTGGGGGGACCCGCCAGCGTGGCGTTCTGGCCCCACCTGTCTGATTAAAAATTAGTAGGTGTTGGGGTGGGCACCGCGGGTAAAAGACAGTATTATCCTTTAGGAGATTAGTAGTTAGAAAGATGGGCCCTGAAGATTAGTGATTAGGAGGGGGTTGTGCCCTCAAGCGCGGGCGCATTGGATTGCCATGCGCCAGGGGCATGACAGCCGGCCACGTGCTGTTGTAGGGGGTCCACGTGCGCGCATGTGAGGCCTCCCTCTTTAATGACATTGGTGCGGTTACTCAAGCCCATGTGATTAGTGTTAATTAAAAGAAAAGAGGAATTGTTTTACTGTCAGCAATAAATCATTTCACATAGAAATACGAAACCAAAATGTTAATGTTGCCAATAAAAAGTACATAGGAGGGAGTGAAGCCTTTTACCTCAAAATACTCTCGGTGGTGACTGTTCGATAATACGGTGCATTGTTTTATTTATTTTTTTATTTCAGCATATTAAAACTATAAAAATAACATATAACAATTATTATTTGAGTAATTTATGATAATAGCATGTACCAATGGCTACATTTAATGATGAAATTTAGAAAGTGTTAGCTACCTCTACTTAGGATGAGCAAAAAAAAAATTATTATAAATATTTATTTTTATTATTATCCTTGATGGAAATTATATTTTGAGAAAACTTTTTTTTAGGGAGTAAAGTGTTTTTTTTTAGTCACAAGTAAGTCGAACATTTTAACTTTATCAAAAAAAAATTAAGTTAATTGGTATAGTTTTTAAGAGCTATTTTTTCCTATAAAAAAAATCATGTTTTATGATACTAATAAGATAATGTAAAATGCATGATTAAATAAAAAAAAAGTAGAAGTTAAAGTCACATAATAATGGAGATAAATTAATAGCTATTCAACAAATATATTTGATTAGTACGATAAAAAAATATATTTGTATTAAATTAAGACAAAAATAAAGTAAAATGAAGCTTATATGCTTAAAAAAATGAAATTACTCTTTGTCATGTCGCCTATTGATCATTACATGGAGTTATGAGTTAGAGACACAAAAACAAGTGAACATGGCTTTCTCCATATACTTTTAAGCTTAATATACATATAAAAATAAATAAATAAAAAATAAATAAAAGGAAAATAAAGGCCAATGACAAAAACCAATAATTTTAATCATTAAAAAAGAAAAACAACATGGTAGATTATAGTTAATAGCAATAAGTGATAGTGACACCCCATGCATAATGAGTGATGTGATGTGTCCCTATTTGAGTGAGTTTTTAATTATATTTATGTATATTTTAAAAGTATATTCATTTAAAAAAATATTAAAAAAATATTTTTTAATTATTTTAATATTCAATATAAAAAATATTTATAAAAAACACTATCCACCGTGATATCAAATAAGCTTAATTAGCAAGACCAAGCGTGTGAATGGTGTGTGGTATTTTTTTTAAATATATTAAAATAAGTTTCTTATAGATTTTTTTTATTTTTGATATTAGAATATTAAAGTTATAAAAAAACTAAAAAAACATTTAATTCTTTTTTTTAGTAAAATACGCTTATTTATTTATTTTATCAAAACCGCACTTCCAGTCAACATAGAGGAAGCAGGCCTCCAATTTACAGAAACAAGAACAATAACAATAACGTACGTAGATAAAAGAGAGAGTCTTTCTTTCAAGAAAGACTCTAACGAATACGCAAAGCACTTTCTTTCTTTTAGGCTTTGTTTTCATGGCTTTTTAAAGCCTTTAATCCATTCCCTCCCTCTTTCACTCCTCCATTAAACGACGAAAACAATAACAGAAACAGCTCTCGACAACAAAAAAGAAAAACAAATAAAAAAAAGGAAGCAATCATTTATCATTGTTCAATCTCTCCCTCTCTCTCTTTCTTGTTTGGATCGGATCTCAATTCTGAAGTATTCTTCAGTGAAACAGAAAGGCACTCACTCACATACACACACAAATAACAAAGTTAATTTTCTTCCTTTCCCTGTGACCTGTTTTTGGCCTTTTGGGGTCCTTGTGTGTGTGTGTTTCGGTTGTAACAGTCATGCAAGATTGCTGTCTCTGCATTGCCTTCTCTCTTCTTTAATCAGGTGTATACTCTTTCACTTTCTTCTTCTTGACTGTTTTGGTCCCTTAATTCATGTTATGTTATTTTGCTTTTCAAAGAAACAACTTAGCTTTACTTGAACCAGCCAATTTGCTTGTGTTGGTGTCAAAAATTTGGCTTCTTGGTTTTTGCCATCTGGGTTCCTGAACAAATTGCTTAGGACGGTTTTTGACTGAAGAAAACAATGTAAAGTTCTTGTCTTTCTTCTTTTCCCTTTTATTTTCTTAATGGGATTTAGATATCTTACCGCTTACAAGGGTTGATTTTGACATTCATTTGACCGTGGATAACGGTAAATTATCTTCATTCACGGGCCACCTTTATTGTACCTTGTTTTTCCCGTTATATTTGGAGTTTCTTTAATTGTAATTTTCTGCGGAGATTGTGTGAATCAATTGTGTTATTTTCTTGTTTGAATTTGCAATACTATGCTGTTTCTGTCTTGGTAGCACCTGTAATAGCATAGCATAGCATATTTTAGATATAAAAGCAATTTAATTGCAAGATTCTGTCGTTTAATGGCCTGCTTACCATTCATAGCTACATCTCAGAACATTGCTGTTGTCGAGATATTCCATGGAGTCGTTTGTCAATGGGATTGAATCTTCATCACAGACTCAGAATTCAGCATCTAAAATAGGCAGCCACCCGCTTTCCACATCTGTCATGTCTCGCCCTTCTCGGCCTCCAATTCTGAAACAGTCTAGGCATGAAGGGGCTTCTTCCGGTGCATGCTATGCAAGTTCATCCAATCATGGCATCAAGACTGTCCACCATTCAAATGGTTCTGTAATCTATCCGAAGAATTCCTACAAAAAAGCGCATGATGGTATCCGGCATGAAGAACTTCTCAGTACGGCAAAATATTTCTTTAGTCCTCATAAGGGCAAATCTGAGTTTGCAAGCTCCCCTGAACTTGTTAGTCAATCAGCAGAATCTTCTCCTGAGAATAAGGTTTCAACGGCGGAGAACAATTCCTGCATCAAACATCCCATGGATGATCCAAAGAGCTCTAATTCCAGTGGCTCACTTGAATCTGAAAGTATTGTCTCAGGCCCATCCGAAGCAGATGCTGGGCAGCTTAACAATCACGTAGTATCTCAATCAGCTTTAAGCTTCTGTGCAAGTCCTTCAAACAGCATCTATACTGCCACTCTCTATGCAGAGGCCAAACAAAGTTTCACCAACACAGAAGTAAGTGAAGAAGCAAGCACTGTTGGGAAGTCCGTTGAAAGTGGTGAAGTAAGCAACTCCTATGATAACGAGAGCAGGAAAATGAGCCTCTATAGAGGCAGCACTGATAGTGATATTAGTGATGAAAGCAGTTCCAGTAGTTTAAGCAGTGCATTATACAAGCCCCACAAGGCAAATGATATAAGATGGGAAGCAATTCAAGCTGTCAGATCTCATGCGGGAGCATTGGGGTTCAATCACTTTAAATTGTTGAAGAGACTAGGATGTGGAGATATAGGCAGTGTTTATCTATCAGAGTTGAGTGGTACTAGAACTTGTTTTGCAATGAAAGTTATGGATA